GCTCAAAGCCCATCTCTTCTGAGCATTGAGAGAGCCCAAAGTGGTTAATCTCCCGCCGAAACCCTCAAGCAAGAGGCATCCCTTCTTTGGGAAATTAACCCCGAATTGGGGTTCTCTTCCTGGGTTTATTTTCCAGACCAGGAAGTTACAGGAAGAGAACATAGGTGGGGTTATAGTTTAACAGTTTAGGCTGGTAACTTTCAGTGGAACAAGTCAGATGACATTCCAGTAAGGCAATTAAGTGTTCCTATCAACACAAGCTTGATCTTAGCAAACATTCCTTCTTACATGTTCCTATCAACACAAGCTTGATCTTAGCAAACATTCCTTCTTACATGTTCCTATCAACACAAGCTTGATCTTAGCAAACATTCCTTCTTACATGGTCCTCTCAACACAAGCTTGATCTTAGCAAACATTCCTTCTTACAGCAATTTCTCAGTATCTTTACAGAACAATCAGTAACTAGTCTGTCCTTGAGCCAGCAACCTTGCTGTGCCACAAATCTTTATCAGATGTATGATTTGCAAATATTTTCTCTCATTCTGTAGGTTGTCTCTACTCTGTTGACTGTGACCTTTGCTGCACAGAAACTATTTAGTTTGAAATAAACCCATTTGTCTATTTTTGATTTTCTTGCTTGTGCTTTTGGGGTCATATCCAAAAACTCATTGTCCAAACCAACGTCATGGAGCTTTTCCCCTATGTTTTCTTCTACATAATAGTTTTTCAGTTTTCTTCTCTTTATGATCAGTGCTTAGCACAGTACCTGACACATAAGGACTCAATAAACACTTGCTGATGAGCAGATTCTGTGGTTTTAAATTGTAATTTAGTTATAAGTGACACGTCCTGGAACCATACCACCCTCTGGTGGAGGGAAATGCAGACATCAGGAAAACAGGTTTTACTGTGCTCATGGGTTTGTGTACGGCTTTCCCTGCAGCCCCATCACTGTGTCTCTCACAGCACAGAAGTACACTGCAGAGTCACTCCCAAGGGCAGATGGTTTCTTCAGGTGGAAAGAGTTTTGGCTCTTATTAAATTCAGCCTCAAAACCATAGCTGCCTTTAACCAGATTGTCCCCTGTGATGTATTTCAGAAGGAACTCGAGGCCTTGGTTGGGATATTGGACATACCAAAAGAGATAAGGGTTCCCAGAAGATGAATAGGTGCATTTCACAGTCAGAGGATCCCCTTCGGTGACAGTGACTTGATCTTCCAGCTGAGTCACCGACTGAGCTCTCAGTCCACCTGTAAATGGATCCATTTTGCATCAGTGAAGCTGCTAAAGAAAATATAAGTGGATCATACAAGTGGAAGATTGGAAAGGGATATTACTCACTCAATGTGAAGAGAATCACAAGCTCCGAGATGTGTGCAGAGGTCACGGCTCTAGCTGAGCTCGCTCCTTTCCAGTGCATCTTGGCTGGAGATATGGCCCCACCCAGAGAGTGGGCTGTCCAAGAGGGACCAGCACCCCTGTGTCAGCACAAGGTTTTTAGATATGGCCCTTCCTCAGGGAAGCTGGTGCTTCCTGGCACCTGTGCCTTCTTTCTGTTACTCTTGGTCCGGGCTCCTCAAAGCTCTGTGGGGAGCAAGACTGCTGTTCCTCTTGTATCCGGGGTGAACTTCTCACTACGTCGCCCCCTAGAGCCCACACACAGGACCGGGTGACTTTATTGTCAAGTAGCCGGTGCTTCCTGTCTTGTCATGGGGCAGACATCTGGATGTTTACATTTTCCATGAGGAAAATAGGGGAGGAATTTAGCATTCAAAGGAGAGGAAACAGAATTTGTGAATCAAAGTGTAAAAGATGCATGCTGAGTGGGTCAAGCTTTAAATGGTATATGTTCCCTTATGATCATGTACAGACAGAGAGAAGGGAAATAGAATATTTTAATAGGATAGGGAAATACATAGGAAAAAGACAGGAAAGTGAAGCTTTGGGTAAAGAGGGAGAGAAAATTTAAAATAAGAGATAAGAGAAAGCAAAATAGGAGAAAAGAGTAAGGCAAGAAAAGAGAAATGACAAGAAAAAAATACAAACCTTGCTCTTCTCTTTAGAAGGAATTTAGAGCTGGCTTCTATGTAAACCTCTTTGACCGAAATATAAATCATAACCAAAACAGCATGGTACTGGCAATAAAAATAGACACTCAGAACAGTGGAACAGAATAGAGAACCCAGATATCACCCCTCAGGCTTACAGCCATTTGATATTTGACAAAGAGAACAAAAACATACATTGGGGAAAAGACAGCCTCTTCAATAAATGGTGCTGGGAAAATAGGATATCCATAGGCAGAAGAATGAAACTAGACATGCACCTCTCACTATATACCCAAATCAACTCAAACTGGACTAAAAACTTAAATATAAAACATGAAACTGTAAAATATTAAGGGAAAACATAGGGTAAACACTTTGGGAACTTGGTCTAGGCACAGACTTAATGAACAAGAGCCCAAAATCACAAGAAACAAAAGAAAAAATAAATAAATGGGACTATATCAAACTAAAAAGTTTCTGCACAGAAAAGGAAACAATTAACAGAGTGAAACAACAACCTACAGAGTAGGAGAAAATTTTCGCTAGCTATGCATCCAACAAGGGATTAATATCCAGAATATACAGGGAATTCAAGTAATTACAGGTTAAAAAAAACAACCCAATTTAAAAATGGGCAAAGGAGCTGAATAGACATTTTTCTAAGGAAGACAAACAAATGGCCAACAGGTACATGAAAAAATGCTCAACATCACGAATCATCAGAGTAATGCAAATTAAAACCATTTTGAGATATCATCTCACCTCAGTTAGACTGGCTATAATCAAAAAGATGGAGAATAACAAATGCTGTTGAGGATGTGGAGAGAAGGGAACACTCCTGCACTGTTGATGGGACTGTAAATTAGTACAAGCACTATGGAAAACAGTATGGAGGTTTCTCAAGCAACTACAGATAGATCTTCCATACGATCCAGCAGTCCCACTTCTGGGTATATATCCAGAGGAGCTTGGACAAACTATAAAAACATTATCTGTGGAGAAAAGTCAGTTAAAGATTAGAACAATAATCATAGCAAAAGATGTTACAGATGAATCTGTGGGTGTTTATGTGTTTTTTAAAGCTCCTGTTTTATTGTCCAGAGGTCCAAAATGAGTCCCACAGGAGCACTTATCAATGAGAGGTCTATTGTCAGCACGTTCCCCTGATGCAGTTGTCCCTTTTACCAAAATTATCATTTCCTTGATTTCCAAAAACAAAAAGCTTTAAATCCTCTGTAACGTATATGATTTAAATACACAAAACCAGATGCCAAAGAAGGGTAAGTTTATTTTTCCATAACTAAATTTAATTTCTATTTAAAGCCCCATTCTACCAGGTATCAGAAACTAAATCTCAGTCAAATTACCTTACCTTACCTTTTCCTGGGACTGTGCCTAATTCTAGGCAATTTATATTGTTCCAAGACATTATAGGGAAAGCAAATGTAATTTGGACCTTGGGATCATTATCTACCAACAGGCATCTGCTGAATGTTTTAATTCACATCTAACTTTTAATCTGTCCACAAAGTACATTACTGGGTTCTTGTCTCAATTATACCCATGCTTCTCTTGAACTTACAGGAAATCCCACATTTGTAAAAAATACTGACTGCAAATATTCCTATATCATATAAGTATTAACAAGAACCAGCAGTTAAAAAAAATTTTTAAAGCCCTAAGTATCTCAATTCTAAAGAGAGCTTCCAATTATTGAGGTCAGATAAATTCTCCCAGGAATTAGTAAGAAATGTCAAAACTAATCCTATTGCAATCAACCTTCACCACATCCCACTAGCTACCCGTGCAGTCTATATAAAGAGAGAATTGGGGAAAGTGAAAGGTAAGCAGAGGCAGAAGTGGTGGGGAAAGAGGAGAGAACTTGGAGATTTTAGTTTTGGGAGAGCAAGCCTTATGGTGGAGGACTTTTCCCTTCTGGTCCTTTGGGAGAGCTGTGGGTATTTTTCCCCCACCTCAAAGCCAATGTTGAGAGATAGAATGACTACAGGAAAATTATCCATAGAGATTGAGAAGGGTGTGCCTGCAAGAGCTAAACATGTGGTGAGCTACGGGACCTGGGCCCACTGCAGTGCTGCTACAATGTTGCCTTAATGGCCTGGTCCCAACTGGTCACTTCATTGGTCATTTCATTTCCTGCAATTCAGTTGCCAGGGCTTCAAAGACATGGTTTTCAATTATGCTCTTTTCCCTTACAACTTTTATGAAGGATAAAGCTACCTGAATCCTAGAATTCAAAGCACTTAAAGCACCTTCCATTGTAACCTTCCCTTTATGCCTTACTGCTGTCAGAGCAAAACAGAGAGTGGTCAGGGAGTTCTTTGGAGAGGTCACATATATCCCTTGGAGGAAGGGATGTTCTTTCACATAGAAATTGATGTCCGTCTCTGGTCTAGAGATTTATATAGCAAGACCTGATGGAGCAGCATTTTTTTTTTTTTTAGCAAGAAGTGAAAAACCATGGCATACTAATTGTATGCATTTCGTGGGGCTATCATAGTAAAGTACCAAAAACTGGGTGGCTTAAAACAACAGAAAGGTATTGTCTCACAGTTCTGGAAGTTAGAAGTCCAAAATCCAGGTGCCAGCAGTGTCGTGCTCTCTGACACACCCACGTGAGAATCCTTCCTTGCTTCTTCCAGCTTCTGGTGTTTGCCAGCAATCCTTGGTGACCCTTGGTTTATAAGTGCATCTCTCCAGTCACATGACTGTCTTCTCCCTGTGCCTCTTCACGTTGTCTTCCCTCTTTGCATGCCTGTCTCTGTGTCCAAATTTCCCCTTTTTATAAGGACAACAGTCATTTTGTATGAAGGCTCATCCTAAAGATTTCATTCTAACTTTATTACCTCTACAAACACGCTGTTTCCAAATAAGGTCACATTCTGAGATACTGGGGGCTAAGACTTCAACATATTTGGGGGGTAGGAGTGCTGGGGGACTCAATTCAACTCATACTAACCCTTGGAAGAAAATGAAAGAGACAGCATTCCAAACTCTGCCCCTTCTCTGTGGTGCCCTGATCCTCAGAAGGTACAGAAGAATACCCTAGGTGTTTTCCACGGCCCCTCCAAAAATAGTAGCAGTGAGGTCAGAGGAAGAAGGGCCCAACGGAACACAAAGTAAGCCCTACCCAGAGAGCGAGCTGGGGTCTTGGATCACTGGTGGAGCCAATAGAAGACCTGGATACTTCTCTGAGGACCGTTGAAAAGTTCAGGTGAGTCTAGATACTGCCCCCAAGTAAACTTTACCATTGGTGCAGACACAACCAGCAGCTGACACAGCAGACCAGTCCAGAGACTTCAGACAGCTGCATGCCACCTACACTGGCCTGTCAGGTAAGCTCTCCAGCTTTCTCGGGATCCCTACAGTAGCTTTTTCACCAAGGTATTTTTCATTTTGTTTTGATTTTATGGGAAGTAAAAGAAAATAACAATCTTTTATTCATTTTATTTAATTACATGTATTGATTGTACAGATTTATGAGGTACAGAGTCCTATTTCAATACATGTATACAAAGTGTGATGATCAAATCAGAGTAATTAGCATATTCATTATTGCAAAAATTTATCATTTCTTTTCTCTGTGTTAAGAGCATTTGAGCTCCTCTCTTCTAGACAATTGAGAACATAACATAAATTATTGTTAATTATAGATGCATAGCAGTCTTAATATACATACAAACTTTCAGGATTTGAGAGTAAAGGAGATTTTACTCTCCTGTAGATGCTTCTCTCCTTGTCACCGTAGAACTGGGAGCTTCATAACGTTATACCTTTAAGACTGAGATTTCACCGCTGCTCTTTTTGTAATTCCTCTCCTATCGACTGCATTTTCCCCTTCTTTTATTTTACTCTTTTTCAATTTTCCCCTTTGGGTAATAATGCTTTTAGTGGTCTCCATGTGAGCTTGAAAAAAACTGGTAGGAAGACTAGTTGTTGACAGTTTAAACTATAGAATCAAAACACCAGTGTAAAAGGTAGGGTTTTCAATATACCACACACACATACTATACTCCTCCGCGAACTGGAAAGGACCTCTCAAAGGAATTTTCTGTCTCCGGTCCTGCTTGCCAAATCTATGAGAGGGCCACACAGGTATTCAGTATTTACTGAGCCACTACCATACACATGGCACTGTGCAGAACACCCTCAAAAAAGGATCACACGTGGTACCTCTTCTCAAGAATTTCATTTGAATAAAAAAATAAGATTAACACACTTTTAAGCAAGGAACAACCCAAAATAAAATATGCTTTAAAAAGTAGTACAAGCATACCAATTTATATTTATGTACAATGGAGATACTTGGATATTATTAAAATTTGAGTTAAGAGCCAATCTATTTAAGACATCTTGGTAAAGCTTATGACATTTAATATTATTGGAATGTTCTGTCCTCTATGGTCAGCAATCTGCCCTTCACTTTTTATTCCAAATGTAAATATCTACTGAAAGTCTACTATGTAGGCAAACGGTAGCTCTGTGGGGTTCACTTTCTGAAACCTTTCTCTATTACTATAATTCTAAATGAAAGGAAGTAGAGAATAGTGGTCAATGCCTCAAGATATAGGGTTCAAAATCTGGGATTCCCAGATCTAACCTGACTGAGCAGAGGAATATCCAGTGAGACCTTTATGGAAAATATAGACTTCTGGGCCCCATTCCTGCAGACCCTAATTCAGTTCATCTGGAATATAGCCCCCAAAATACTATTTTTTCACAAAACAACTGATCTAGGAAAATAAAAAGGGTTAGGAACCATTCATTGGTCTGTCCTAGGGCATTGGTCTCCAAAGTTGGAGGGACGCATCTGGGATAGGAAGACCAAGATAATTAACATGGGTATAGGAAGAATATATTACACATACAAATAGTACCATCTGATTTGTTTTTAGTTCAAAAATTGGGAAGATTTAGTTCTACTGATATTTCATATACTGACTGACACTGGCATCCTCAATGAGTCTGTATGTCATATTATAAACAAAGTATCCTAAGGCGAAGATTGAGGTTCCAAATGCAGGGCTGTTGATAGCAGCCACTCACTCATTCATTCATTCCCTTTCTGCTCCTTATTATAGTACCCAATGTTACCTAAATCACCCTTTACAAAATGGACACACGTCTTGAAAATATTCTGCAAAGAGACTGAAGCTAGCAGATAATATTTAAAATGCAAGCACAGAAAGCAATAAGAAAATGGAATAGTTGACATGCCTCTTACTCCTATCACAAGTTCATCATCAGCCAATTTGTGAGGGACAAAAAAAAATTTAATCAGATACCAAAAGAAATAAGTCAAAAGTATTTCAAATATCAAGAAGACTATTAGAAATATAGCCTTACAGCACCATTATTGATAATGAATCACTCCCTAAAAGCATATTTTCCTATAGACATTTGCAAATATATAGTGTGTCTGGATTCTTTTTTTTTTTTTTTTTTTTTTTTTTTTTTTAAAAAAAAAAAAAAACCAAATATATTTTAAAAAATTTATAAAAAAAAATATTTTTTTTTATAAATTTTTTAAAATATATTTGGTTTTTTTTTTTTTTTAAAAAAAAAAAAAAACCAAATATATTTTAAAAAATTTATAAAAAAAAATATTTTTTTTTATAAATTTTTTAAAATATATTTGGTTTTTTTTTTTTTTTTTTTTTTTTTTTTTTCTGATAGCAATGCCAAATGGAAAAGCTTGGGGAAGGCTGAATTCCGGGGTAAAGAAGTTATTGCTCATCTCTTTTCTACCTCCTGCAAAGACTGTGATCTCTCCTCATTTCTGTTCAGCTCTTCATAGGTTCCCTGCCTCTGTGTGCTCCAGAGCACAGTAGTAAACGGCAGCATCTGCCTCTTGCACCTGCAGGATGAGCAGTGATGAAGAGAATCGTTCATATGTCATGTTGTACCGTCCCTGCTGAGAAGGCCTTGAACCCTTAACAAGGAGTCTTGGAGCACATCCTGGGGAGTGAAGGTACCAGAAGAAGTTGTAAGCATTGGACACAGAGTGATTGCAGGAGATTTCCACCACAGCTCCCTCTGAAGATGCCACAGTAGAAGGCTGAAACACTTGGTCCCTGCTCTCTGCAACTGAAGGAAACAAAAAAAGGTTGTCACTTTTATGCTGCTATTTGGTTTGCTGATTGCCTTTTAAGTATAGTATTAATAAATCTGGGTTTTGTTTTTTAATTTTAAAATGAGTTCAAATTTTAAAACAATGGCATATGCTTTTCCAAGACCAGATGGTGCAGGAGTTTACTCACCCTTCCAGAGAGAGTTGAGGAGAAACCCCAGCCACACTGCTTCCAGAGTACTCAGCAAAGCCATGGCCAAAATACAGCTGGTCTCACCAGCACACAGATTGAAGGCTACCTGTCTTGCATTTTCTTCTTTGTGTCAGTGACATCATCAGACAGAATCTACAAACTTTAGAAGAGTGGCTACAGTTGTGAGGCTGCTTAATAATGACTTCAACCGTGTTTTGTTATGAGAAGTTAGTCATAAAAGGGAATGCACCCTTTCAGAGGCCACCATAGTTGTGCAAATTTAGTCATTCAGGAAGTTTCCTTCCTTTTCTAAGGGTGTGTGAAGGAGTCGCATAATCGATGGGGCACAGCTTCACCATTAAAATTAAAGTGAGGGCCGGCCCCGTGGCTCACTCAGGTGAGTGCAGCGCTGGGAGCGCCGAGGCGGTGGGTTCAGATCCTATATAGGGATGGCTGGTGTGCTCACTGGCTGAGTGTGGTGTGGACCACACCATGCCGAGCGTTGCGATCCCCTTATAGGTCCAAAAAAAAAAAAGTGATATATTTACACAAAAAATATACTTAATCTCATCACGTGTGACATGATGACATGCTAACATGTTAAAAATAAGGAACATGAAATCTTAGTAACTGCAGTAGATAAGACATGGGTTTTTAAAGCACAAAAGTTACTATGTAAATCTAAGGATCAAAATTTGACTACTTGCATTCAAAGTGATCTCTGGAACAAGTATGGGGGGAAAAATCTGGTGGTGTTTTTCTGTAACCAAAAGAAGCAAAAACTACATTTGGAGATAATCTTTCTTGGATGATACCTATTCGCATTTTACAACCTGAGTCTGTCCCCTTCGTTATTACTATAAGGCTTACTACAAAGTTCTTCCTCTGTTTTTTAATTATTTTGTGCAGATTTTCTTGAAATTTTATTTGGAAAAGTGAACACAGTGTGTGTGGCAATTCAACGTTAATAGAGTTTTTAATGTGACCTCCGCCACCTAGTGGACTATGTAGGAACTGACGAAAAATCATGTCTCCATGCAGCCTCTGAGACAAGACTTTTACAGCTTCAAGAGATGTATGTCTTTTGTTTTTAATCAAAATTCCTCATCCTTATTTAATTTCCATAGGGTTATAAAGCATATCCAGAGGAAATAACTGCCTTCTTGGAAAGCCTTCTGGTTTTAAAAAATGTTCTTCAATTAGATGCAGGGCTATCACATACCTACTTCTATGGAGTAACTCACTTCTCTTTCCCATCCTAAGAAGTCTGCTTTATGCATTCCCTTTCCTTATTTAATAGTCTTCCAGGTCAGGGAAAATTGGTTTCTTCCCTAATCTTTTCTCCTTTCTTACTGAGAGAATCCTTAATGGTAACAAGATGGTTGTTTAGGTCCAACGGTGACATTTTGTTTATATTTATAACCTCAAAAAGCTTCCAAATAAAATCCAGAATTCCGGTATGGCTGTAAGTGAGGGCAGAAAAATCAAAGGGAAGTGGGCACAAACACACTTAGTGGAAGGAACAACGTAGCTCCTGTGATCAATTTCAGCTCTGAAATTTCTCACAACTAACACAGAAGGGGAAATACAAAAGAAATGCAATTATACATGTAAGTTAATTAAGTGTTCAAACAACTTCTTACTGAAGCCAAATAGTACAAAGTCATGGATAACTTAAAAACAATTTTTACATTACTGGTTATTTACTTCTGTTTCAAAGTTTCTAATCAGTGCACAGTGTTTCAGCATGTGCATCCACCACATTTACTTACACAGTCCCCTAGTGACAGATTCATAGGATGCCTTTAACTCCCACAAACACAGCAATGAGCATATTTTTATGTTTCTCTCTATTAACTGTAAGATTTTCTTTGGGGTCTGTTTCCAGCAAGGATTGTTTAATAATAGTATATACACATACTCAATTTCACTAAGTAATGATTCAAAGTAGCTGTAATCATTTACACTCCGGCCAGCAGTGCAGTCTTTCCACATCCTCGACAACATTTACTATTATAAAACAGTCTGATTTTACCAATATGCTCAGTGTGGAGTCTCATTTTAATTTGCACTACTCTGATTATTAGTGAAATTGTGCCATCTGTATTGCACCATCCTATATCGTCTGTATAAATAATTTACCCATTTCTAAATTAGGCCTGTAATTTTTCTCAGTAAATCACAGGAGTTCCTTATATATTGATTCTTTGATGTGTTCAATGTCACAAATATCTCTTTCCAGTGTAGTCCCAGTCTGTTAACTTTGTCTATGGTGTCTTTTCTCTTTTTTTTAAGGGAAATCCTTAATTTTGAAGGAATCAAAGTTCTCACTTCTTTTTCACCTTATTGAGCTTTGGGGATCTTGATTTAGAAATCATTCCCCACCCCAAGGCCACAAATGTATTTTCTCACATTGTATTTTACTACTTTTACAGATTTTTCTTTTACATTTAGGTTTTCAATCATCTGAAATTTGCAGATGTATGTGGTATAAGAAGAGATCCCACTTTATATTTCCTCATAGACAGGACAGTTTTCCTAACACTATTTACTAAATAATCCACCTTGCCCCACAGATTTGTGGTACCATCTCTATCATATACAAATCTACCTGTGAACTTGGTTCATAGTTAACTATTGAACTTTCTGAGTTTTATAATTTGCTTCATTGATCTAGTTGTTTCTTTCTGAAAAGAAAGAAAACCATACTGTTTTATTATTTTAGTTTTATCAGGACCCCTTTTTTATCAGTCAAATATTCAGATGCAATTCAATAAAAGTCACTCTGGCTAGTTTAAGCAGAAGAGGAACAAATTAAGAGATATTAAATAGCTCACAGACTCTCCAGAAGAGGTAGGTAAAGATTTGATGCTATACAGCCAGAAACAGTGCTCAAACACACCACAGGAAATGCTCTAAACAAACCATCAAATGTCACGCTACTCACCCCAACACCACAAATTCGCTAAACCAGAAACAAAGATACTCAGTACTGAAAACCCAAAGTTCTTCCATTGCTGCCCCAAAAATGCTAGGCACAGTGCCTACTACGCACACGAAAAGATACATCTGCACACCTGCTACTGGAAAACTACAATGAACAGCAGTAGTGATGGTGGCCTTCCCTGTCTTGCTTCTGATCATAGAGAGAATGCATCTAAAATGCCTCCATTGTTGAGACTTCCTTTGTAGCCTAGTACATGCTCAGTTCCTTAGGATGTTCCGTGGGTGCCAGAATGGAGTATACAATTTCTGTACATCTCACAACGTTCCTTTAGAATATATTTCAATCAGCTTCTACCTCTAAACTTCTGTCTATATAGAGAGCTCAAAATTAGTACAAGGAGTCCAGTGGAGAGCAGATGCTATGCCTCACCCTTCACTCTTCACCTTAGTCTCTTTAGTCATCAAAATTTTTTCTCCCTTCTCCAATTTACAAAAAAAAACTTTCATTTATGAAAGGATAAAAATTAATGCAAGTGCAGAAGGAAGGGAAAAGAAAAGAGGGGGATGGGGGTATTGTTGATTTCACAGGCAGCAGCCATCCAGAATGCCTTTGTATGGACTGAACAGGCATTGTTAAATGATCTCTGTGCAATTTATCTGGACTTAAATATAACATTTATGACAAGATAAAATTCTAATCTATTTGAATTTGTCTAAAGTTCTAAGAGAACTTCATTTGTTTAGGACAGTGATTAGAGAAGAAAATAACACCAAGTAGGCTTCAAGGAGGGGAAAATGTGATTATTATTATTACAGGGAGGAGTGTGTGGGGATGAGGTGAGAGATACGTAAAGAAAAAGAGAAGGCAAATAATAGCGGAGCCTCCTAGATTGCAAAAAGCAACATACATACAATGTGACTTTATCTGTGAATTCCTCAAATACACCTTTATAAAGTCTAATAAAAGTTATTTACTTACTGTAATTGGGTTTTGTCATGGGAAATTATAAAAATACTGTGCTCTGTGACCCAAGTTAATTGAGGCATGACAGAATATCATGAATGAGGTCAGTTGAGATGGCAGAGTAAAGACCTCAAAAAAGTCACCTCTCCATAAAAGCAATGACAACACTGGCAAAAAAAAAAAAAAAATGTCCAAATCAACTTTTTCTGGACTCTAGAAATTAACCAAAGATGTGTAATAATCCAGGGAGTATTTACTTAAGAAAATTGGCTGAATCTTGATAAGAACGGTGAGCAGCTTTGTGGCATTTTTAACTTGCCCTGTTCTCCTCTTCTCACCAGATAGCCAGTAGCCTTAAAAACCAACAGCACTGCCATTATCATGAATAACAGCAGTCCAGCAGCCAGGAGGGGCCAAAACGGGTTTGAAACTCCCCAAAAACACTATTCTCAGAGAACTGTTGTTATTTGACCTGTCTGGCCCATCGCTGGAACCTCCATTGGTAAGATTTGCTTTTATTTGACTGGCTGATTGCAAATAACCTTTTTCGGGGTGGGGAAGTATTTACTGAAAGCAGTAAGCACCAATTGTTTAACATCACCACTGCCTGAGTAGTGATAACAATGAGACAAACAAGAAGCTGACCAAAACATTTAAAGGAAAAGCTGAAGATTTAAACGTCCAGAGCAGGCTATGAAAATTTCTTATGGATTCCTGGGAATGTCGATGGCCATGCACAAGTATAGTGAAGGCTGTATACAGATCAAAGGTCATTTGAAGGTCCAGGAGAGACAAGAGAAGGACCTAATCTCTCATCTAAGGCTGACCTTGAGGCTCTGTGAAAGCAAGAAGTGAAGGCTAAAGCACAGTTGCAAACTGGCTGGCTAAATATCAGAGGAATGCCAAAACACACACACACACACACACAAGTCCATAAGCAAAGGGTGAGAAACCAACTGGTTTCAGATATTTAAAGAAATCTCTGTCTCATCATCAGCTGATCATTATGCTATGCTAACCAAGCAGAAACTTCAGTGGCCATACATGACAAAGAATACAGACTTTACAAATTAGTTCAGGAAAGTCAATCAAAAACCTTACAGCAAACAGAATAACAACCAGCAACAATAAACCACAAAAGGGTGGGTGATCTTATTTCCAGTGCTGCCACATTGTTTTAAATGTCAAAAAACATAAAATTTTAAAGATAAATAAATAAAATGCTTCAATACAAAAATAAAATAAACAAAATG